TAGATAGAGTAGGAGGAACTAATGCAATATAGTTGAGGAAAACACATAAACATGCTACTAGACACCTTTCATTTATTTTCTTATTGCTCCAATTCTTATAGGGGATGATTGTTCTCAAGAAAATTGGGAGGAAACAGAGAGGACTAATTCACTACGTGCGAATAGATGGAAAGAAATGAAGGGGAGAGGATAGGAAAGACATACTTTTTAATCTTTTTGCTAAAAGATAGAGCATATTTCTCCTTTCTTTGTCAACTATTTAACCACATTAATATTAACTTTATTATTCCTTGTCCTTCCATTATTTCATACTTGGTTTTTCCACCTATTTCCTTTCCTTCATATTTTAATCAGTTGACTTAATCCAAATATATGAAGGGGAGACTTGGAGCAACGGAAACTTGTCTCTGTGTGACCTATAGGTCACGGGTTCGACTATCTGTTATTTTTTGCATTTCGATCATCTTACTATCTTATTATTTATGTTGTTTTTACATTGTTTCTCGGTGTTGTCCCATCTTTTTTTCTTTTTATTATTGTGGTGCATATGTTTTTCTGAGTCGACGGTCTATTAGAAACAACCTCTCCACCTCCACAAGGTAGGGCTAAGGTCTGCGTACACACTACCCTCCCCAGACCTCACTATGTGAGATTATACTGGGTATGTTGTTGTTGCTGTTGTTCGAGCCGTGGAAGCAGCCAATAATGCTTACATTAGGGTAGATTGTCTACCTCGCACTCCTTGGGGTGCGGCCCTTCCTTGGACCTTGCATGAACGCGTGATGTCTTGTACACCGGACTGCCCTGACTTAATCCAAATAGATCTAGTTATTGAGCTAATATTGATCATGCTTGACTGATAATTACACACGAAAAACCATGGAAATGCCCAATTAAGTATAAGTAAAAACTCATGCCTTTCCTTCAAATTTTGATTATCTTGCAGGATATTATATCAGGGCCTGAAGACATATTACCAGAAGAAATTTTGAAAAGACAAATGATGAAACAAGACCTGGAGAAGCTTCTGCACAATGTGTTATGTGATAGAGAAGCAAAGATTCTGAAATTGCACTTTGGCCTCAATGGAGATACCCCTCAATCTTTTGAGGAGATTGGAAAAGTACTTAAGCTTTCGAGAGAAAGGATCAGACAGATTAATTGCACTGCCTTGTCAAAATTAAGAGAAAGTAGTATGTTAGACAGCTTTAAAATGTACATAACATGAATATATTCTGTAAAGCCAAGACATTTGTTAACATTATCACACGCAAAATTGAATTGATATATAATACTAAAAGATCAACAAAGAGTTAATGCAGAACCTTTTGCTCTGTGGTTTAATGATTTATTTAATTACTTTGGAGTTAACTTAACCAAATGGAGAAAAAGAAAACTTTATAATCCAGTAAAACTATGAAAAATCTACTAAGCTGAACGTAAATCTTTATTATGAAATGAATCAATGTCTAACTCTATTCTTAACTCTTAAGATAGTTAAAAAAAAAACCGTTTTGGATAACCAAAAGTTAAAACAAGTTTGGAGCAATATATATTATTAAGAAAATATAACATGCAACTAGCGTTTGTAGTCCAACGGTTAGGATAATTGCCTTCCAAGCAATAGACCCGGGTTCGACTCCCGGCAGACGCAATTAAATATTTTGATAAGTTTCGCAATTGTTCCTTTTTGCTTTCCAATCATTTCGAACTCATCCATGGGAAAAATAAACTGTACATTCTGTAACTCAAGTCCATATGGAATGTAGTTGCATACAAATTTTTTAACCATGAATTGTTTGGCCAAATCAAGAAAAGGGTGTGTAATTGGAAAATGTTACTCAAAATAATATGGTTATTACAAGTTGTCTAAGTGTAGACGGGTGATTTTCCCTATCTTGAAGGGTGGACACCGAATTGTAATTTCATGGATTTTTTCGTTGCTATACAATATTTGAAACTTAATTACCAAATTTGTTCTAATTTTGTATATTACCCACCCTAAACAAGGATTACTTACAAAATATATACATTCCACCTTAAAAGACTCCAAATCCATTATTAGTACATTCAATCAAGGGATTTAGTTACACTTTCTTGTTTTTTCTCTCCTCTCTCCTTCTTCTCTCCGGATCAAACTTATATTTAGGGATTTTTGTTTGATAATTGTTGCAAAATACATTCGTCAAAGCCATGAGATACTGCTGAAGTTGTCATCTTTCTTTTTTTCTCTTTATTTTGCTGGTGGATTTAATAATAGAATAGGTGTGAATATTTTACAACCATTATTAGGCGGTGGTGGCAGTGTAGGAATAGAATTTCTGCGATCAAATTGGTAAATAAAACATCTGGGTTGTTGCCTTGATGGAATCTGCCGGGTTCGACTCCCTTAATTCTTTACATATATGTTACTATTTATAAAGATAAATAACGGATACTTGAAAGAGGAATTACATTGAGGAAGCAGAGCAAAGAACCAGCCAATGAACCCCCGATAGCAAGGAATGCCAGAAAATGGAAGCCAAATATAGATAAGGGAATATTTTTAGAATGACAAGCTTATTTCAGAACAAGTAGAGTAGACCTGCTATACTACTTAGGCAGCTTATACAGGAAGTTTATTGCATTGGTTTTTGAAGACTAGATTAGCAAGGGGTTTGGAGCATTTTGATTGTTATCTTAGCTAGAATGTAAGCTGATGTAATAAGATTGTGATAGAGCATATTTTTAGTTGAGTTGCTGGACTTGGTAATAAAAGTCTCTTTATTTACCCAAAAAAATAGATAAGTGAAACATACATCAGTTTTCTATTCATGTTGAACATATATTGACACTAGAACTCATTATCAGTTCTTGAGACCATCTTGCAGTGATTCTATGTTTGAGCATATACACCTATGTCTAATACAACACCTCATAGTCGTGAACTCAACACCTAAGCTACATGGCATGCATCATTCAATCATATAGTAATATTTTCTTGTTTGGAAATGAACAGTTTTGTATCATCAAAAATACATGCCTTGGCAGCAACAAGCGTTTGTAGTCCAACGGTTAGGAAAATTGCCTTCCAAGCAATAGACGCAACTCTATTTTTAATAATAGGGTTCGTCAAATTTTCCTTTCTCGCTTTAACTCTTTTCCTTTTTGCTTTCCAGTCACTTAGAACTCATCCACGGGAAAATAAACTGTACATTTTTAACCCGCGTCCATGTAGAATGTGGTTGCATACAAAACTGGGGCATTTTTCCTATCTTGGAGCGTGAACAAGGAATTATAAAATCACTTGATATGTAATTTTTATGGTTGTCTTATACAATTTATGACTCTTTCTAAAAGTAAGGCGCGGGTTTCTATAAATATCTTCAGAATTTAAAATGCAGCGCCATTATCTATTTTCAACCATTGCAAACACCATGCAAATTTTCCTTCTCATCTTCGCCAACTAATTTTCGAGATATCTGTTCCAAACATTGGTTAATCAAAAGGTGCCCCTGTACTTGAATAATATGATACCTCGTTGACACGGTAGAGGAAAGTGTCCCAATAATACTGTTTTGTGTAGGCTTGCTTCTTGTTGGATGTTGGGAGATAAATTTTGTGTTGTTTCTTTACTCTATGCTTAATGGTAGATGCAGCTGGAATATTCAGTTTTAGTACCGAAGAGCTATATGAGAGAAAAGGAAGTATTCTGCCCTCCACAAGTCTAGAGAAACAAACCCACCTCGTTTTTTTTCTTTCTAAGAACACCTCGGATTGGAATTCCATTTTTCTTTCATAAAAGAGAGTTATAAATACTGAATGAATCATGCAAGGTTTTCGGGGAATTTTTTTTTTTTTAAAAATACTAGCTTCAAAAGTTTGGAGGGAACCTTGGCGTAGCTAGGGGTGTACAAAGGAAACCGACAAACCGCACCAACCCGATAATCCGAGTCAAACCGAGAAAAAAAATCCGACTATGGTTTGGTTTGATTTGGTTTGGTGTTGAAAAAAAAAAACCCGACCATAATTGGTTTGGTTTGGTTTTAACTAAAGAAAGTCAAACCGAAACCAAACCAACCCGACATTACATATATAGAAATTTTAGATATATTTAATATATAAATATAATTATTGTGATGTAATTTATAAATATTTCTTAAAAGATTTCATAGTTTTATCTTTTGAGGTATTATTTCAAGGTTGGACTTAGAACTTTTGAATGTTCTAATAAGTTTTATAGCCATTAACATTAGTAAATTAAGTAGTGCTAGCAAAAGCCCAAACCAAAATCAAATCAATATTAATGCTAACAAAAGATATTCAATTCAATACTATGAACGGAAATGTATTGAATATCTATTTTTTGTTTTGCAAAAATTTAGATAAAAATGCATGACATTTTTATTTTTCCGTTAGCGTTTAGTCATGTAATTAATACTCCCTTATTAGTCTACTTATTTTAGCATGACTTAGTACTTTTAGATTATGTTTATTTTTATTATGGCTTTTTAATTAGCAATATTTATATTACATAATTTTATTGTCTTTATTGTTGAATATTTTAGAATAATGCCATGACATATCTCATATTTTGTATTATTTTCTTGGAAAATACTTTATATAATTGTATCTTACTAGGACTAAAAAAATATTTTGAGCACAATTTATTTGTTTTGTTCTACGAAGATTTTACCGGAAAAAAAAAAATCCGAAAAAACCCGAATAACCCGAAAACCCGAAAAAAAACAAAAGTGAAAAACCCGAGTTTTATTGGTTTGGTTTGGTTTTTAGATTTAATAACCCGACACAATTGATTTGGTTTGGTAATTGTAAAATCCGAACCAACCCGACCTATGTACACCCCTAGGCGTAACTGGTAAAGTTGCTGCCATGTGACCAGGAGGTCACGGTTCGAGCCGTGGAAACAACCTCTTGCGGAAGTGCAGGGTAAGGCTACGTACAATAGACCCTTGTGGTCCGGCCCTTCCCCGGATCCCACGCATAGCGGGAGCTTAATGTACCTGACTGCCCTTTTTTTTTAGCTTCAAAAGTTTGATTACTTGGCTATACATACATACATGAGTATAGTACATGTCAACTATTACTCCTTGTGCAGATTATGGAGAATATACAAGGAAGCAGAAGACAAGAAGATACACACTGAGTAGCTCAACAGATCAGTACCAGTGGCTATAGTGACCATCTTGCTCCTCTCGAACATCTTGACAAGAAGAATCATGACAATTACATGTCCCACTTTGGTTTTTAGTTCATCAAGCGAACTGATCTTCATCCATTTTGGCCTCTCCTACATGGCAACATCAACTGATTGAAACTGGAGAACAAAACAGAAAACCCTATACCTACAAGCGCACATGTTTTGTGGTTGATGTATGCAAGATGCATTCATCTTCACAAGTTTACATGTTACAGCACCAATTTCTGGTCATTTGCAAACTAGACTAGAATTTCAAATCTCCAACGCTCGTATAGAGGGTCATAAGAGTAGCAGAACAAACGAAAGAATATTACTAGCTTTCACGAAACTTATGCTTCTTGTGATTATAACAATTTTCAACTGTTCAATTAAATCTTTAATACCTCTTTTGTTAGTCTTTTAGGGATATTCAGAGTAAAACCATGTTTGTTAGTACATTATGATTGAAAAGTGAACCATATTAGATCATGTGACATGGCTGCAATTCCAGCTTAAACAACTCTCTTCTAAAAAAAGTAGTTTCCATTTTGAAAGAGAACCATCATTTTTGCCATCTCCAGTTTTCTTCTACAGTAATCAAACAGGATTGAATAAACTGAAGTTTATGAAGAAGGCAACAATATATAGTGGAAGTATAAGAAACGTAAAATTGGTAAAGGGAATTGAGAAAGAAATAAGGTACATAAGTCAAGAAGATCCTGAGTGCGACTACCTTCAGAGCAAACATCCCAAACAAGGAAGACTGCTTGAGGGCACGATCACTGCTTGGATGCACATCAGGAGAGACATTAGTGATGAACAATCCATACAAGCCCATCCCAAATATTAACATCACGGTCCCAGCAAGATAAACATCTGCATTACAAGGATAGTAAACTCAGGAACACTTAAAGAAGATATTACACGTTTAGATGTAAGGTACTACACACCAGGTAAAGTGACATTTTGGTTGGAAGTTCTGCAACTTTTATGCAAGTGACAACTGAATATTCTTTCACAACCACAATTTTTATATAACTAGGCCGTGACATCAAGAGCAGTGCATCGAATCCATCGGAAAAAATACTTTGCGGATAATTTACAGGACAACCAGAGGAAGTTACAATAAAAGTGCAAGTGTACACCAACAAAGCCTGGAATAAGAGAAAGAGTAACAGGTCGTATACTGAAGCACCATAGACTCACTTTAAGGGAGATAAGAAAAGGATTTTCTATCCATCGTCTGAGAGATATTGAAGCACCGTAGATGACTCACATTAGGAGATGAGAAAAAGAATTTCTATCCTTCTTCCGAGGGATATTTCAGATGAATATCAGATTCTGGTGTAACTTTCAGAATTTTCCATACAGTTCTGAAGTGTGATAAGCTTTTTCTGGACTGATAAATTTTGCATATAATCTTCCACTGTAAGTGACACTAAGCTAGAAGACTGCGAGTAATCCAGATGATATAGCAGCAACTAACTCTAATGCCGTGAATTCAAGAGCAGTGCATTCAAACCAAGGTAGAGTTACTTCACGGATAATTTACAAGAAAACTAGAGGAGTATCAATAAAACAGAGTTAAATTTCAAAGTATACACCAACAAAGCTGGGAACATTAGAAAGAATAACAGGTTGTATTGAAGAATCATAGATGACTCACTTTAGGGAGATGAGAAAAAGAATTTATATCCATCGACTGAGATATATGATAAGAGCAAACCTGTTGTTGTATGTGAAAGAAAGAAAAGTCAAAGAGAGAAGACAAATGATAGGGGGAAGAATTCATCTTTGAATTCTTTTCTTATGACGTAAGCGCTTACGTCGGTAGGTTGAATTCTTTTCTTATAACGTAAGTGCTTATGTCGGCAAGTTGAATTCATTTCTTATAACGTAAGTGCTTACGCAGGGCATTCAAATGCCTATAAAAGGGGTATGCATTTTCACTTGCAAATGATCCCTCAACTTCTTCTTTCTCTTCAATTAATAAAGAGCTATTCTTTGCGTGGCTGTGGAGTAGGCAAAAATTACTGAACCACGTAAATCTTGTCTTGTGCAATTTATTGATTTTCTCTTTTAAATATTTTTTCCCTTCTATTATCCTGACGCGCTTCCCAATAACTGGTATCAGAGCACAGACAGTGTAACTCTGGCAGAAAAGCACGGTATTGGTGCATGTACTATTCACAAGAATAGTGCAACACTATTGATCATCATTACTAACATTATTCATTAATAGTGATATATTCACCAATTTTTGTGTGAAAATGGCATCGGAAGAAGGGAAGGTTAAGATTGACAAGTTCAATGGCAAAGATTTTGGATTCTGAAAAATGCAAATAGAGGGCTATTTGTACCAGAAAAAATTACACTTACCTCTGACCGAGGTAAAAACCAGAGAATATGGCCAAAGCGGATTGGGATCTATTAGATCGTCAAGCTCTTGGTGTGATTCGTTTGACGCTAACACGAAATGTGGCGTTTAACATCATTATCGAAAAGACCATTGCATACCTGATGAAGGCGTTATCAAATATATACGAGAAGTCATCTGCTTCAAACAAAGTCTATTTGATGTGTCGATTGTTCAACTTAAAGATGATAGAAGGTGGATCTGTCACGGAACATATCAATGAGTTTAATATAATATTTTTTTCAATTGAGTTCTGTTAATATAACATTTGATGACGAAGTCACGACATTGATTCTACTATCATCTCTACCGGAGAGTTGGTATGCAATGGTAACTGCAGTTAACAGTTCATCGGGAAGTACCAAACTCAAATTGAATGATATTAGAGACTTGGTTCTAAGTGAAGATATTTGCCGAAGAGAATCAAGTGATTCCCCAGGATCTGCTTTTAATACCGAAAGCATGGGGAAAAGCAACCAAAGAGGACAAAGTCATGGTCGTGGCAGATCAAAGTCAAGGAGAGAGGGCAATCAAAAGAAAGAAGAGTCAAAAGAGAAGAAAAATAATAGGTGGAAGAATTCATCTTTAATTTTTTTTTTCTTATGACGTAAGCTCTTACGTCGGCAGGTTGAATTATTTTCTTATGACATAAGCGCTTATGTCGGCATGTTGAATTCTTTTCTTATGACGTAAGTGCTTACATCGGCATGACATTCAAATGCCTATAAAAGGTGTGTGCATTTTTATTTGCAGATCATCTATCAACTTCTTTTTTCTCTTCAATTAATAAAGAGTTATTCTTTGTGCGGCCGTGGAGAAGGCAAAATTTGTTGAACCACATAAATCTTGTCTTGTCTTGTTCAATTTATTACTTTTCTCTTTTAAATATTTTTTCCCTTCTATTAGTCTGACACGCTTCCCAACAAGATATTCAGATGAATATCAGATTTTGGTGTAAATATCAGAATATCCCATACAATTCTAAACTGTTGATAAGCTTTATTCTCGACTGATAAATTTTGTATATAGTCTTCCACTAGAAAGTGACACTAAGCTAGATATGTTGGGAAGCATGTCAGACTAATAGAATGGAAAAATATTTAAAAGAAAAAGCAATAAATTGCACAAGACAAGATTTACGTGGTTCAGCAATTTTTGTCTATTCCACGGTCACACAAAAAATAGCTCTTTATTAATTGAAGAGAAAGAAGAAGTTGGGGGATGATCAACAAACGAAAATGCAGACCCCTTTTATAGGCATTTGAATGTCCTGCCGACGTAAGCACTTACGTCATAAGAAAAGAATTCAATCTGCCGACGTAAGCGCTTACGTCATAAGAAAATAATTCAAAAATGAATTCTTCTGCCTATCATTTTTCTTCTCTCTTTGACTTTTCTTTCTTTTGGTTTGTCTACTTTTCTTTCTTTCACATACAATAACAGATTGGCTCCTATCAATCTCCCCCTCAAACCTATGTTACATCAAGAAAGAAAATTTAAAAAAAGGATTTGCTATTCTCTGATGGTGCTTTCACGCTATCAGTCTTGAAGGCTAACTGAGGCAGTGCACAGCCTCAGTTTGTCAATACCGACAACTTTGGTCAACATGTCTGGCGGGTTCTTTGATCCTGGTATTTTTTTCAGGGAAAGAGTTCTTTCACTTATCAACTCTCTGATATGATGATACCTCAATTGGATATGTGCTTTGATCTTGCATGAAATACTGGATTCTTGGCAAGATGAATTGCATTCTGGCTATTGCTGAAAAGCTCACAATTGTCCTGCTCTTTACCTAGCTCTTTAAGAAAATTCTTAAACCAAATCATCTCTTTTCCAGCTTCTGAAATTGCCATGTACTCTGCTTCAGTGGTGGATAGAGCAACACTTTTCTGAAGTCTGGACATCCAGCTAACAAAAGTACCACCCAAGGTGAACACGTAGCATGTGGTACTTTTTCGACTATCCAGATCGCCGCCTAAATTTGCATCAGCAAAACCTTGTAAGATAATATTGTTCTTTTTAAAACAAAGTGTCATACCTGAGGTGCCTATGAGATATCGCAATATCCATTTTACATCTTCCCAATGCTCCTTTCCTGGATCTAACATGTATCTACTGACAACTCCAACCGCATGGGTTATGTCAAGTCTAGTGCAAACCATATCATACATCAAACTTCCTACTGCTGAAGCATATGGAACTTTGGACATGTACTTACTTTCTTCATTTGTCTTAGGTGATTGGTCCTTCCACTGATTAAGATGGCTTCCGAGTGGAGTGCTTCTGATCTTTGCATCATGAAGAGTGAACCTGCTTAGTACCTTCTGTATGTACTTTTCTTGAGACAATTTTAAGGTTCCTTCATACTTGTTTCTGTTAATCCTCATATCAAGCATTTGCTTGGCTGTTTCTAAGTCTTTCATTTCAAACTCCTCTACCAGTTGTTGCTTAACCCTGTTGATCTCATTTATGCTAGATCCTGCAATTGGCATATCATCAACGTACAACAGTAAAATGATATAGGATTCATCAAAAATTTTGATATAACAACAATGGTCCATCTCACATCGTGTGAAACTATTATTAAGCATGAATCCATCAAATTTCGTGTACTATTATCAAGAAACTTGTTTCAAATCATACAAACTCTTCTTCAACTTATACGCAAGGTTTTCTTTTCCAGAAACTTGAAAACCTTCAGGTTGCTTCATGTCGATGTCTTCTTCAAGGTCAACAAGCAAGATAGCAGTTTTAACATCTAGCTGCTCCAAATATAAATTTTTAGCAACTACGATACTTAGCACTAACCTGATAGTAGTTAATTTGACTACAGGAGAGAAGATCTCGGTGTAGTCAATTCCTTCCTTCTGCTAAAAGCCTTTTACTACTAATCGTGTTTTGTACCTCTTCTTACCATCATACTCTTCCTTGACTCTGTACACCCACTTGTTCTGCAATGTCTTCTTTCCTTTTGGTAACTATATAAGTATCCATGTTTTATTCTTTTGAAGAGAATTCATCTCTTCTTTCATGGCTAGCTTCCATTTATCAAAGTCTATCACCTGTATTGCTTCAACAAAATACTCTGGCTCACCAGCATCAGTCAGAAGTAAATACTGAAGAGAGAGAGAGTTAACCTATCTGGAGCATTCATGACTCTTTTAGATCTGCTTAATGTAGGTTCAAGAGTAACTGATCCCGAATTTGATTCAAGTCCTGACTCCAGATTTGGTTCTACATTTGATTCTATCTCTAGTTCCGATTTTGATCCAAATTCAACTTCTGGTTCTTCATCTTCAATTTCAGAATCAGTTGTAAACCCTTTAGCCACTTCAACTCAACTGTTTCAGATGTATGTTTGTTAGTGCTGGTTGGTTCTACTTCAAGCTTGTCCTTCTACATCACATTTTCATTATAAGTGACATTCCTGTGTCTTAGGATTTTTCTATTCTGATCACCCCAAAATCGATAACCAAAATTATCATCACCATAGCCATTAAAGAAACATTTCTTGGCTTTAGGATCAAGCTTATCTCTATCTTTAGAGTTTACATGCACATAAGCAACACTACCAAAAAATTTCAGGTTTGAGATAGTTACCTCCTTTCCTGTCCATACCTCAGGTTTAACAGCTTACCCCTGTTAATGAGGTAAGCTGTCGTGTTAACAACCTCGGCCTAAAAATACTTCGACAATCCAGAATGTATTCTCATACTTCTGTCTCGTTCATTCAGGGTTCTGTTCATCCTTTCAACAACGTCATTTTGTTCCGGTATTCCAGGAACTGTCTTAATCATTATGATCTCATTCTTAGAGCAGAATGCTTTAAACTCTTGACTATCATACTCTCCTCCATTGTCAGACTTCAGACATTTTAACTTTAAACTTATCTAATTTTCAACTTCAGTTTTCTATCTTTTAAGGGTAACAAACACATCGAATTTATTTTTGAGAAAATAGACCCATACCTTTCTTGTGAAATCATCAATGAAGGTGACATAATAGCGTGACCTCCCCGAGAAGTTACAAGAGTTGTTCCCCACACATCTGTATACACTAGTTCCAGCTTCTCTTTCTTTGGCGTCCTTCCTGCCTTTGAGAAGCTAACTCTCTTTTGTTTCCCGTAAATGCAATCTTCGCACAAACCTAATTCAACATGTTTTAGGTTTGACAACTTTTCTTTGGATGCCAACAACTTCATGCCTTTCTCACTCATATGCCCGAGCCTCCTGTGCCACAATGTTGTATCACGACCACGATCAACTGTTGCTATAGTATCTTGTATTGCAGTTGCATACAGTGTTCCCTTCTTGAAGCCTCGTGCCATAAACAAATTTCCTTTGGTTAACTTTCATGATCTGTTACCGAATGCTGTTGTATATCCTTCAGTGTCAATCTGACCTATAGATATCAGATTTTTCTTGAGGCCAGGAACATGTCAAACATTTTGCAATTTCCATAGCGTGCCTTGTGAAGTCCTTATATGAACTTCACCTTTCCCGACAATGTCCAAAGGTTCCCCGTCTACTAGATAAACTTTCCCGAATTTTCTAGCAATACAATTATGCAATAATTCTTTACATGATGTAGAGTGAAAGGAGGCACCTGAGTCTAGAATCCAAGATTCGACTAGACTGTCTTGCACAACAAATTAGTGCATTACCGACTTGTTCAACAATCACATTTGCTGAATTTTCTTCCTTCTTCTTCTTTAGTTCTCTGCATTGACTACTGTTGTGACCCTTTTTATCGCAATTCTAACAAGTAATGTCCTTGTGATTTTTGGATTTCCCTCTTCTCCTTGACTTTGATTTGCCATGACCATGATTTTGTCCTCTTTGATTGTTTCTCCCCCTACGTTCGGTATTAAATTGAGATCATGGGGAATCACTTGATTCTCTTCGGCGAAGATCTTCGCTTAGAACCAAGTCTCTAATATCAATTCAATTTGAGTTTGGTACTTCCCGATGAACTACTAATTGCAGTTACCGTTGCAGACCAACTCTCCGGTACAGATGATACTAGAATCACTGCCATGACTTCGTCATCGAATGTTACATTAACAGAACTCAATTGAGTTAATATTATATTAAACTCATTGATATGTTCCGTGACAGATCCACCTTCTATCATCTTTAAGTTGAACAATCGACACATCAAATAGACTTTATTTGAAGAAAATGGCTTCTCGTACATATTTGATAATGCTTTCATTAGGCCTGCAGTGGTCTTTCGTTAATAATGTTAGACGTTGCATCTCGTGTTAGCGTCAAACGAATCACACCAAGAGCTTGACAATCTAATAGATCCCAATCAGCTTTGGCCATATTCTCTGGTTTTATCTCGATCAGAGGTAAGTATAAGTTTTTGTGGTACAAATAATCCTCTATTTGCATTTTCCAGAATCCAAAATATTTGCCATTGAACTTGTCAATCTTAAGCTTCCCTTCTTCTAATGCAATTTTTCACAAAAAAAAATTATGTGAATAGTGCGTGTGAATAGTAACGGCGAATACTATTTCGTGTAAGAAAAAATATCCCAACCGTATAAGGTAGACAACAATCACTATTGGTGAATGTACTATCACTATTAATGAATAGCATTCGCAATGATGATCAATAGTGTCGCACTATTCTTGTGAATAGTACATGCACCAATACCGTACTTTTCTACCAGAATTACACTATGTGTGCTCTGATATTAGTTGTTGGGAAGCGTGTGAGGCTAATAGAAGGAAAAATTATTTAAAAGAGAAAAGAAATAAATTGCACAAGACAAGACAAGATTTACGTGATTCAGCAATTTTTGCCTACTCCATGACCACACAAAGAATATCTCTTTATTAATTGAAGAGAAAGAAGAAGTTGTGGGATGATCTGCAAATGAAAATGCAGACCTTTTTTATAGGCATTTGAATGCCCTACCGACGTAAGGGCTTACGTCACAAGAAAAGAATTCAACCTGCAGACGTAAGCACTTACGTCATAAGAAAAGAATTCAACCTGCCGATGTAAGCGCTTACGTCATAAGAAAAGAATTCAAAGATAGAATTCTTCCACCTATCATTTTTCTTCTCTCTTTGACTTTTCTTTCTTTTGTTTTGTCTATTTTTCTTTCTTTCACATACAACAACAGGTTTGCTCCTATCAAGATAGTGAGAATAATATTAGATAAAATAGCAGCAAATAACTCTAATGAAAAGGAAAACTATTAAGGCAGGATAGGATGGGATAGCATATGCACTGGGATTTTGCCCAAATAATTTCAAAGGACCAGTAGTCATCAAAAGAGAGGTCATTAAAGATCCATTGAAATGCAATCATTGACTGTCTTCCCTCACTGAGGTGCTCTTCTACTATTTTCTGATTACAAGCAGCATGATCATTCAGAAACTCACCTATAGCTTCAACCAATCGCAGAACCATTTGTCCTGTGTGAATTCCTTTGACACAGCTGCTCCAATAAACTTTGTAAGCGTCAACAATGTAGACACAACCCTACAAAAGAGAGTTTAACTGTATGAACAACTCATAGAACCGGTAAAAATGGCAGTATCTCCTTTCCTGATGATGATATGCATAAGAATGAAGAATAAGATGCAGATTAGCAAGGATTAAGCGTATGAACCAAAACCAATGTTTTATGCCTTAAAACACTAGAGAAATGCTTTTAAGAACGAATGTACCTAAATAAATAATTAGCCGAGGATAACTATATTGCACTTAAGTAAACTATGGTCAGAGAATTAACTGATTGTAGAGGTTAAGATAGAGTTGCCCAACAGATGAAGGATAAACAGTATATTACATCTGCCACTTCATCATTTGATATATTGGTGCTATAAGCTAGTGAAAGACTACAAATTTTCGAAATGCAGCAGAAATGAGCACGAATAGGACTTCGGAAGTGGATTAGGAATAACCGACTCCCGTAGATACTATGTTTTCTATCGATGCAAGTGTATGATAACTGATCAAGAATTACAAGTATTAATGTTAGTCTGATTCTCAACAAGCCATTTTCATCAAGAAGTTTCACATACCTAATCACCCTTTAGCATGTAAAGATCAAATAAAATCTATGAACCAACATCTTGTCAGTTTATAGATTATCTATTTTCTAGAAACAACAAGTGCACTAAAGTATACAAGTTCATGCCTTAATTACAGACTTAAAAAGAAGTCTTGCCGTCATAAATTTAACCAGGAAACACAAAAATATAAACTTTAAACACCTATAGCAGATGATATCCATATATTTTCGAACTTCACATTGAAAAAAATAAGGGAATGCTTGACAAAGGAATTACATTGAGGAAGCAGAGCAGAGAACCAGCCAATGAACCTCCGATAGCAAGGAGTGCCAGAAAACGGAAGTCAAATATTGCCTGCTCAAATACAGATGCGCAGTGAGCAAGAGATAATATGAAGCATACATCAGTTTTCCACTCATATTAAACAGATATCAATATTAGAACTCAATTCAGTATCAATTCTTGATACCACCCCAAAGGATAGAACAAACCATATCACTCTCCAAAGTCCAAACCTCAAGAATTATCTTCTGGTTGACAAACTAATAGGCTTTGTAAGCACGGTTACCAATTCAAGCAGATTAGTATTTATTCTTTCTTTGACCGAATAGATTTAAAACCTCATAATAATACTATAACTCTGTATTAATTCTTTAGACCCCCCAAAAAGAATGAAACCCACAACATCCTCTAATCCTCAAGAATTAGACAGTAAATAAACAAACAAATACTAGTAATAAGTACTATCAAGAAAGAGCAAAAAGATCAAATTTGTACCCTTTCAATAGCTGATTCGGTGTGCTGAACAAATCTAATAACTGGGTTTCCATTAGGATTTGCCAAAGCATAGTTGAATCCAGTATCCGGGATTTTAGAAGACTCAACAAAGGGAACTTTTGGTGGAGAATTAGTTGAGGATAATACACTCCCACTTTGTGTGGATGAAGATGATTCATGAGAAGGCGTAGCTGATGATGATGCAAATAAAGTAGGCAAACGTCTGTAATTTCTTGGAACTTGAAGGTTAGAGATGGAAAATGATACGTGCGCAACTGAAACTGAACTTAATGAAGCCATTGAAGCTGATCACAGAGATAATAAAATTGAGATATTTTTGTGAAGAAGAGTTGGAACTGCGTTTCTCAATCAGGCTTTGGCGCGTAGTAGTAAGAGTAAGCCACTTGGTTTGTGCTTCCGTTTTCTTTGTTGGAACAGGAACCTATTAAGTTAAAAATTAAATTACTTAATTGCCCTTTAAAAACCTAAAAATACCAAGCTTACAAAGAAAATTGAAAAACCCAATCTTAGCCAAAGGACGCATTGCAAAATTAAAAGACACAACGCTTAGGCCTACTAAAAACTCCAGGTTACCCGATGCTTCAGATTTGAAAAAGAGACATGATTGTTATTGAAGTTGTTCCTCCCTGCCTTGTTCTTCTTCTCCACAAAACAGTATTTTGGGGGTTTTAAGGCAAAACATCCAAACAAACTTAAGGTAAACGATTATGTTTCTTTGTGCTCAATTTTTAAAGAAGGATTGTGCTTTCTTCATTCTTCTAATTCAGTTTGAGATTATTGTGTTCTGACTTTTAGAAGTTCAGTATATGTGCGTGCGTATATTTTGTTCTTTGGATGGGTATCCGGATTGAGATGAGAAGTTACTATTCAGTTAGGTGTCTAATGGTTGAACCAGTGTATTATAAAAAAACGTTTTTTCCAAACTATTTTTTTAATGATGGTTTGGTCTATGAAATATATTCTGGTTGTTTGCTATTTTATAAAAAAATTTAACACAATATGGATTCGCAAAAGATTGATTAAAGTAGTTTTTCCTAATTATTAGTTCCAACATTCTTTTGTTATGCTGTATTTGATTCTTCTTTAGTTTCAAAAAAATGGTTGGAAATGTAGGAGATGAAATTAATGACTCACAACACTTTTGGTTGCAACTATTAATAATTAAATAGGGGCAATGCAATGTAACGATCCGACCAGTCGTTTTGGGTTTTTGCACTTTGCTCTTCAGTTCTCGGGCATGACTTATCCTGTGTGGTATATTATGACTTATGTAAATTATTGGTGTTGGGTTTCAGGTTAATCAGAATAAATTTGGAAGAACAATCTCAGTTGAAAGCTTAAAATTTGAAAGATTTGACTTGTTTGTATTTGATCTCGGATTGGAATTTTTATGATTTGGTTAGCTCTGTTAGGTGATTTGGAACTTAGGAGCGTGATCGGAATACATGTTGGAAGTACGTGGAAGATTTAGGCTTGAATTGGCGAAATTGAAATTTTGGCGTTTTCCGGTTGATAGGCGAGATTTTGATATAAATGTCGGAATGAAATTCTGAGAGTTGCAGTAGCTTTGTTGTGTCATTTGGGATGTGTGTGCAAAATTTCATGCCATTCGGACGAGGTTTGATAGACTTTTTGATCAAAAACATAATTTAAGAGTTCTTGGAGTTCTTATGCTTAAATCCTATGTTAATTTGGTGATTTGATGTTGTTGTGAGCGTTCCAAAGTTTTGAACAAGTTTGAACGATGTCATGGGATGTGTTGGTACAATTGGTTTGAAGTTCCGAGAGTTCCGTGTAGGTTCCGGAATGTTTTAGGCCGAAAATCATAGCTGTAGCAGGTCCAGAAGGGTTGCAGGCCTCAGAACTCACCCGCGCGGTCCGCACAAAATGAACTGCGTCCGCGGTATGTGTTGTGTGGACCGTACAAAATGAAGTGCGGCTGCGATGAGGAACATTTCGCTGGTCCTACTTCGGAAGCTCATATCTTTTGATATACAAGGAATTTTGAGATGATTCAAAAATAAAAGTTGTAGCCCTATGTCTAGTTTCCAGAAAGGTAAAGATATCGCAATTTATAAATCTGTAGCCAAAGTTATGGCCAAAATACTAAAGCCTATCATTGTAGAGGAAAACTTGTGCGGCCGCAGTCGTTTTTGTGCGGACCGCACTGGTTTTGTGCGGTCCGCAGAGCTAGAAATCTATGAGGTACTCTATAAATACGAGGTTTTAGGTTTTATTTGATATTTTGACCTAGAGAGCTCGGGTTTTGGCGATTTTTCGAAGGTTTTTCAAGAAATTCATCGTGGTAAGTGATTCTAACTCAGATTTGGCTAGAGTACATGAATCTATCATTGAATTCATCATTTAATTCATGATTTGGGATGGAATTTGGGAAGAAATTGTAAAATCATTCAAAAATGTAAAAGAATGATTTGAAGGACCAAATAGTATCGGAATTGGATAATTTTCATATGGTTAGACTCGTAAGAGTATAAAAATTCTAGTTTTGTGAATTTTGTCAAATTCCAAGATGCGGGCCCGGAGGGTCGGGTTTGACCAATTTCGGGGGATTTTGTGGTAATTTGATTATTTTCAAATGTGCTTTGTTCCCTTAGCATATTTTGATGGTTTGGTACTGATTTCGGCTAGATTTGGAGCATCCGGAGGCCGATTCGAGAGGCAAAGGCATTGCGGGCTAGAGTTCGGACCGAGTAGAGGTGAGTAATAATTGTAAATGATGTTCTGAGGGTTTGAAACCCCGGATTGCACATCGTATTGCTATATTGAGGTGAGGCACACGCTTGACGACAAACGTGGGGTCGTGTACTATTGGGGATGGTGACTTGGTCCGTCCCGATTGATGATTTTACCGCGTATTTGACTGAAACTTATTTGTTATCATCATGTTTTGGGCTGATTGTCATATTTGGGTTTCGTGGCAACTATTTGAACCCTTCAGGGATTTTTATTATTATTTCCTCACTGCTTTGACTTATTAATTGAACTCAGTCATGTTATTTTCCACTGTTTTACTACTCAGCCATTTGTTACTCTGTTTTGAGACTTAAATGATATTTTAAATGATGTTTTGGGCTGAGAAACACTGTTTTACTAATGCCCGAGGGGCTTGTGAGTATTTTGACTAAGTAAGGCCGATGGCCTAGTTGTGAGGAAACACTAATACTGATTGAGGCCAAGGGCCTGAGATATGTACGCCACGAGGTGGCTTGTTGATATTGTTTATGAGTCTGAGGGCCTGAGATATATACGCCACGAGGTGGCTTGATTGATATGAGTCTGAGGGCCTAGATTTGATGCCACGAGATGGCTTGATATTGCACTTGGACCGTAAGGGGACCCTCCTGGAGTTTGTACACCCTCAGTGAGTGCGGGTACCCATTGTGATGTGAGACATAGCCCGAGGGGCTGATATTGTTCTATGTGATAGCCCGGTGGACTGGTATTGTTCTATGTGATAGCCCGAGGGGCTGGTATTGTTCTATATGATTGCCCGAAGGGTTGGTACCGTTCTATGTGATTGCCCGAGGGGCTGATATTGTTCTGAGATATTGACCGAGGGGCGGAGTTGTTGACATTGTGCCCAAGGGGCAAACCTTTATATGTTTATCTTTCATATTTACTTGTCATTTTACCTGTTAAACTATGGTATTTGTGCCCGAGAGGCAGATTTCTGTGCTTATCTAGACTAACTGTTTTTGGCATTCATTTGTGTAACTCTTGGAAAAGTCATTTTCAAAGAAGTTTAAACTGAGCCAAAATATTCTAAAGAGATTTTACAGCTTCACTTTTGAACTGCTTCTATACAACATCTTGGTATGCTTTACGTGATTTCTTGCCTTCAGTCTTTAATTACATTTGTTACTCACTGAGTTAGAGTACTCACTTTACTCCCTACACCTTGTGTGCAGATTTAGGTATTTATACACCCGGTAGCGGGTTTTGGCTGATCGGAGGCAGAGTCATCGGAGTTTAGCAAGGTAGTTGTCGGCGTTCGCAGCACTGCTTCTCTCTCTTCATTTCATTAGTCTATATTTGTACACCTCAGACCTTCAGTTGTATTTATACCCTAATAGATGCTCGTGACTTGTGACACCCCGGTTAGTGCTGTGTCGGGGTGGATTTCTGCATTGTTATCTATATTTCCGCTATTCAGTATTATGTAAACCATGTTTAGACTATATTTGTGTTGATTAACTATTTTAAAAGGCGAATAGGGTTGAACTGGCTGGCCTTGTCTTCACGAGAGGCGCCATCACGATCGGGTTCAGGATTAGGGTCGTGACAGTTGGTATCAGAGACTAGGTTACATAGGTCTCACGAGTCATGAGCAGGTTTAGTAGAGTCTCGCGGATCGGTACAGAGACGTCTGTATTTATCCTCGAGAGACTGCAGAACCTTTAGGAAGAACTTCACATTCTTGAATTCTTATCGTGTGTCCTTGATTCAGCTTGAAAAGTAACTTTTGAAATTCCTTCCACGCATTCGTATGCGCGCATGAGCGCTCAGTATAAGATATACATCTATGGCTTGTGATTCCCCGATCAAGGGGCGAGATATGATCTCTGTGTGTTGATGTTGGGCCTAGTCTGGAGGACTTGAGGCCAGATTTTTGCCTATATCTTGAGCACCGAGGTGCTGATTGTGTGAGCAAGTGCTTTTGAATTTATATGTTCGGTATTTTTCCCTATTAGTGGAAGTGACAGCTGGATGGCTATGTAATGAGAATGTTAGTGTTGTGAGATGTATTCGTATGATTTGGAAGTGACGAGAAAGGTCTGCTGGAGGATAGAAGAACTATTAGGTGCTTGATTTCTGTCTTGATTCGAGTTATAGCCCGAGTTATGGGTGTGTGAAGAATCTTTTCATGTCTCCTAGTTGGAAGTGGGGTAGATTTCATGTTGCGGTATGAGTTCAGACTCAGGAAGACTAAGTGACTGCGTAATGGTTATGACGGTGGAAGGTATACATAAATGTTAGTTTAAGATGAAGCAGGTGGGTTATCTCTTGCGAAGTGTTCTGAAGTTGTGTGATCTTTATGTTGTTTGTTAGAAGATCCCATTTACAAGTGAAATATATGTGTGAATTTAATTTGGGTCACTAAAGAGAGTGGGTTTAATTGTTACGAGAGTAAATGCGAGATTTGTAGAAGATATGAAGTACCAGATGGTCCATGTTCCACGAGCTTATGAAGGATTGAATTAATCTTACTATGGTGTTATGGCAGCAATAAAGCGTATGCGTTATGAGTTATGGTGCGTGTTTTGATCTATGGCTTCGAGCCAAGTGGTGGAGTCCGCTATTGAATAGTTGATTGCATGATTATATGCTCTAATGGTTCCAGCTCGAGGCGTATTTGTGAATCAGTTATGGCTCGAGTAAAGGAAATTTCAATAAGGGCTATGTTATGCTTTATAGGTATACGAGAATCAAGGAATGACTTGAGTTGTGGTTGGTAAGGAATGCTCGGTGCATAGGGCAGGAAGTTTCTTGGTTATATTGGAATGAGGTTACATTCTGAAGTGTCAGAGTGCTAGTGAAGCACAGGTTGTTTGGTTCGTTTAATCAATCTAACTGCGGTTTGAGTAGAGTGGATGACTCTAGAGAATGATCCTATTGTGTTCAAAACTCTACATGCAATCATTGGAGGCTTTCAAGTTGTAATT